TTCTTTACTGAAAGAGTGGTCAGGCCTTGGAACAGGCTGCCCAGGGAAGTGGTAGAGTCACCATCCCTGGAAGTATTTAAAAGACGTGTAGATGAGATGCTTAGGGACATGGTTTAGTGGGCATGGTGGTGTTGGGTTGACGGTTGGACTTGATGATCTTAGAGGTCTTTTCCAACCTTAATGATTCTATGATTCAGACAAAACAAAAGTTTTACCAGCACATGAAGCATAGCAATGAAATCAACCAGATGGAGAGTTTCAAATGTGGTAGAAATTACTGTATTGCTGTTCATCATACTGAGTGCTCCACTTCATCAAAAACCAATCACATCATTTATTTCCAGAAAAAAAAATATTTCAAAGAAACAAATAAAATAATTTACTTATAAAAGGCAAATCATGATCCAGTTGATTAAAGCCAAAAGGCCTCAGTTCCAGGCAGAAGGTTCAACAAGCCTTTCCTTACAGAGTCAGTGGAAAGAGACCAGAAAAGCTATAGAAGAAATATCTCTCATGCTGTCTAATATTCATCAGACACATAAGACACATGTAAAATTTGGGCCTACTGAAATAAAACGGGGATGAAACATTATATATGAGTATTTCTTAAAACACTTGATATTATTTTCTCATTTTATGCTTGCCAAGGCACACGTATGGGGTTTTAAGTTTATACTACAGGACTTAAGCGAGAAGTATTGCAATCCTTACAGCACTTCAAGAAACTACAATTCTCTCATCTTCTTCCAGCATTTGTCAGTGCAGTCAGACTTGAGGCAACTGCACAGTGACATAACAGCTCTTCCACTGACTAACTGAAAAACAGAATTACCTCACAGGGCGTGTTTTAAGATCAAGGAACAGGATCAAAGAATGGATCAAGAAGTAGGATCAAACAATCCATCTTTTCAAAAATAGTACTTGAATACCAAAAAAAGTTTTCCAGAAATAGATGAATTATGATAACTACATTCAAATGACCTAAGAAATAACATTTTCGTGTACCTTAAAGTAGATTGGAGCCACACCTCCTACTTCTTTTGGAAGAGGAATGCATTCGTATACCATGTGATACCGTTTCTTCATACTCATGTTTGTTTCTAGGAACACACAGTCCAAGTCTTTAGCTTCAAACATTTTCACCAACACATTTCTGAACATCTGTTTAAAGAAAAAAAAAAAGCATAATTTGAGTTAGCTTTTCAAAGCTTTCAGATATAATATTTTATGTTATTTCACTAACACATATTATATTCATAATAAACTCATAATAAAATGGATAACAGCAGCAATCATACTAGGAAAATTCCATATTATTCAACAATTTAACATGAACTGTATTTCCTAAGATATAAAGATAGGAAGTCTAGAAAACTATTGTGAAATACGCATTATAATTAACACTACAGACTCAGTTTTAATAAATACCACATATTTTTACAGCTGAAATTAAAACTATGTTGAACTTCATAACTGTGATGCTCCGTAAAACAATATGGCTTTAATGGTCAGTCCCAAGCTTACAATTTCTAAGTTAATGCCTTGGCTTGTATTGACTCCAGATACCATTAACCTTCCACTATTCATTCCAATTACACAGTTTTGTTTTGTTTTGTTTTTTAAAAAAAAGACATTTCCACTAGGCATGCTTGACCTTTAAGGAAAATATTAACGTTGCCTCCAAAGAAAGCCATGGCTATAATCACAATCTTCACTGTATAGAAGCCAACCAAATGCAATATTGTAATAGATCTGGCCTCAATGTTACCACTTCCCCTCAGACACTAGGTGCTGCACCTACTCAAAGTGTATTTCAGTTTGTAATTCTGCTAGCTCCAGTGTCAGGGCCCTGCACACACTCAACAGGCTCTGCAGCCTGTGGTACCTGCCGCGGCTCTGGCTGCCCATGCAGGTGGGCAGCTCCGACATGGTGCAGCTATAAGCTGGGATCAGACACAGCAGAAAGCACTGGGGAAAAAAGAGCTGTGAGAAGTGGGGGCCTGGCCCCCTTCACTCAGAACTGCAATTAAGCTCAGGCCCTCACTTTTAGTCCTTGCCTGAGCTAAGTTTCAGGGATGCCTGTGCCCAGCCATGTGCCTGGCTGATCTTGACCCTGACTTGCTGACTTGACTTTGAACCTAACTCATCACTGCAGGCTTGTCTGGCCATCACCGGGCTGTGGCTGACCCTGTCTACTGACATGGGACCTGCTCTCTTCTCCTGGCTCAGGTACCATGGGACTGCGCCTTGTCAGTGAGGTGACACTGCCTTGCCCGTCACCTTCCACCCACTCCTGCCTTGCCTTCCCTGTGGAGCAGCCCGATCTTGCTGCTCCCTGACTCTTGGCAGTTGGTATTTGTATCCAAGATATGCAAGAGCATCATTCTACAGCTGACAATGTAGATGCTGAACTAAATTATCAAGCACAAGGGATGATTTCAGAGACTCATTTGGACTCATTTTCAAAGGCACAAAAGATCTGACTTTGTGACAGGGTGAATGTTTCCGAAAGTGTCTCAAGATCTTGAAAGCTGCTTTTTTAAAATGAAGATCTTTGTGTTATACATGCTCCCTGTACCATTTCCACAATGTAAGCCAAGAAATCACTTAAACTGTATGAGCCTCATAGACCACAGGTACCATAGCTCAACAACTCACATAACTCACAGGTTGACCTTTTTGAATTCTTTTTTTTTTTCAATTAACAACGCTTAGAAGTACAAACAACACAATTAAAAGGCTAATCCCATCTAAAGGTTTAAGATTTCCTATCTTAATGCAAATGGAGAATTGACGAATCAAACAAGCATAAGCAAATACACATATTCATAAACATCAGCAAGTACTGAAGTAAAACAGATGGAAAACAAATCACTATCAGGTTTTCAATGCGACAGTACTAGAAATTGAGCTTTTCTCCCCACCCCTTTGTCATCTTGCACAGTATAAATCAAACTAGAAGTCTAAGAAACTTGGCCAAATATATATCTTAACCAGGTATTTAAGCTCTCCAAAGCAGGCCTTTGTGCCCTGAATTTTTCCTCACAAATAAGCTGCTCCCTAAAATGCTACCATCACCCCCCTAATACAACCGATGAAACACAGCTAGAAGATACTGCCCAGTGAATAGATCGCTGTACCATGACTGATACAGGACTTTACTGCGCAGAGCGACAGACAACTCTGAATTAATAGCTTGTTGTCTTCTTCCCCTCACCCCGGCCCCCAGACCTCTACTTCTGAAATACACCAAAGCAAGTAACTGTGGTGAGATAAGAGAAACATTAAACCAAAGGTTGGGAAGGACTATTACTTACAGTTGCTACCCCGCAACATCAACTGAAATACAAATCCACTGAAAAGCCTAGAATATCTGCAGATGTTAGCTAACGTTTTCCAGACTGCAATTTCTTATTTTTAAATACATTGCACTTTTCCTTCAAATTATGAGCGGGCCAAAACATCAAGAATAATTAGCACTGGAAAGGACAAAACCATTCATAAGAGCAAATAAGAGGGCTTGGCTTATGCTCAGATGCACACGACATTGATAAATGTAACAGTTCAGGCAATACAGAACATGTAAAGATTTATATCTTTTCATACTAAAAAAATTACATGCATATTTACTTTGGCAAGTGAGCACATCAGTCTAAAACACACAATATGTTAAATTCAAGTGCCTGAAGGCATACAGTATAAAAGAACCCTTCTTGCTTTATTCCAACATACCTTAAAAAAAATCCCAGCAAAAATAGTTAGCTAAAACTTGTGCTCTATACAACATTTTATGAATATTTAAAGTGTGATAATTTTTTTCGCCTCAACAGCAATATAAAATATGGCTCTGGCATCAGAAAGTTGGTTTAGTCACTGAGTAAATGTATGCGTATACTCCTGCTAAAGCCTTCCAGACTCCTCCTATTAAATTACATAGAAGCTGAAAAAAAACCCAATCTGTGTCCATCACCTCCCTAAGTACTTTGTTGCAAAGAAATATTTAAACCACAGGGTCAATGGATAATGGTTTTTGGCTGCCTGCCAGGTTAAACCACGACATGGTTTTATCAACTAGTAGGATTTTCTAGAAAGGAAAAGACTAGCGTTAAATACAGGAGCTGCATTTGCTTCTCTTTTCTTTATCCTATTTTCCTTCTCATACATATTTAGAAAAATTATCATCTATTTAGTTAAAAGAGGTTAGGATAAATAGAAGATATAGAATAAACATATTTATCGCTTTTCCTCATCCTCTGTTGTTCCTCCTGATCCCTACTTGTTGCACTTACTTGCTTCTCATCCAACTTTCTTAGGCATTCCAAAAAAAACAAAAGAACTCCTTTCCCTTCCAGCTTGGGAGGAGTGTAATTTACTATGAAACGCTGTATAAAAATTACATCAGCCATGAGAATCAATGCGGGGAGCAAATTAGAAAAGTCAAGAGAATTCATCTGCCAGGCTTGAGGCAAGATCAACGTTACTTAAACCATTTCAAACTCATGAATTAACCTGCTTTTAAATCTAAGCAATTGCAAGCAACGAAGCCTTTCTCTACTCTGAAATAGTATCCAACATTTTGATATAAGAGGTTGAAAGTTATTTTCCCCTTGTAATAATCCTGACAGCGGGGCGGGGAAGACCAATCACTGTCAACCTCTTAGGCAGAACCTTGTTACATTCCTCCCTTGATTTTCCTTTTCCAAAGAAAACAGAACTCAAAACCTTCAAAATGTCTTCATAAGAGAGCTGGAAAGCATGATCCATCATGCTTGGCAATTTATTCCAGTAATTCTTTTCAAAAAAGTAGGAAATTGGATTCTAACAGGGACCTCACTGATTTGAAGAAGAATGAGATCTCTCCCAGTTGACATCCACCCAAAACCCAGATTAGCTTAAAAAACCTGAAGATACGTAAACAACGTATCTTCAGCTTTTGTTTCATTATAAGTGATTTTTCTGCCCTGACAATCCTTTTCTCTTCCTTGGCACTTCTAAGGAAATCCTAACTGCCAAGCCAGTTATTCCACTTTCTGTAAGGGATCAGCTGTACCTATGTCACCCCTGAGAGATGTTCCTCTAATCTGGTTTCAAAGACCTCCAACAACAGAGGTTCTGCAGCATTCCAGGCAACTTTTTCTCGTGCTTATAAATGAGAACTTTTCTTCAGTGTTTGGCCTGCATCTCCCTTTTTCAATTTTTGACCACAATGCGAGAATCTTCTGCCCCTTTGTGGAATCAGAAAAGAGCTGCCAGGCTGGAAATCACAAGTATATTATTATTCAAAACAACATTATTTTACAAAAATGTTAGAACATGAGAGAGTTTCTCAGCTGACCTGGATTTCTTCCCAGATGTCTTCATCCAAAAGAGTGGCTGCAGTATGGTGCTGTAGAGGGGCTATCAGGCAGTGACCTTCAGTAAGGGACTGGTTGCTTGGTAGAGACAAGTATACCTATAAAAAGCAAACAAAAACTGAAGTGCCCATTTTTCTAGCGTTAAAAACCTTCCCGTTGCTAAGGCTAAGAAATACATCATTTGCTAAAATTCAAACCAATAGAAGCCATTACCTTCTAATTACAGCAAGGTATTAGTAATTGCAGTGTTTTTAAAAAGGTCCCATTATCCATCAGTAGCTCCAATGAACTAGTAGTATCCAGACAGCAGCTCCACCAACAAGGCAGTAATATCAGCCTTATCGACCAACCAGTATCCTAACTATTATGAAATCACGCTGTTTAGACCATTACAATACATTTCTAATATATATATCTGTATGCATTTTAATCAAATATAATATATATTAAAAATGCATACAGATATATCTCTGTATATATATCTATTAGATATATAAAGACATATATATATACAGATACATATCTGTATGCATTTTTTTACATATATATATATATATAAAATCTATCTATACAAAAAAATAGGTGCAATGTACCATAATATATATTTAAGCATTTAATTCCTTGGCCTATAAAAAGTTTCAAATCAAATGAAAACCATCAATAATAAATGAAAACTTCGGAGAAAGAATGACAAAAAAAGCCTATACTGAAGGCTTTTTTCATATGTTATAAATCCAAATATTTATGCAACTTTTAAAAGCATTAACAGAAACAAGAAGGCTGTCCGTACCAAATTCTGTCTATTTCAAAGGATTTTAGGCTTAAAAATGGAATTCAACTTAATTTTCTTTGATATCATTGAGATACAATTCTTCACCAGTTCAAATTTCCTCCAGTGCAGTGTGATTTAGTCTTCCACAAATCCACCTACAGTCTGATCTCTGCACTCAGATCTTTCATTATTGCTCCTGTCTTCCACAAATCCACAAATCTGAAGTTCTGATATTAAAGATTAGCTTTATAATTTATTACGGATTTATATATTTTTCTCCCTCACCCTTGAGGAATTTGTGAAATCAGTTGGAAGGGCAAGGAAAATAAGATGCAGAACAATAAATCATTTCATAGAAGCAATTTCGTTCTTAATCTTAGGCACTCTAACATTAACACTGCCTTCCTTTATTTCTTTTTTTATTTTTACATTTGTGTTAAATTGCTATTTTCTTACCTTAGTGCCAATTGCAATAATAAGATGTTTAGAAAGTTCACTGCTATCAAAGCAGTATGGGCACTTTTCCATGCGTGCAGCAAGCTGCTGGTGCTCACGTATTGCTTTTCTTCTTTGTATTTCTTCCTCTTCCCCACTGTGTGCTCTTTTGGCTGCTTTGGAAACAAACATGTCATCCAGAGTGTAGTACTCTCTGTCAGTTTTTTCCATGAGCTGAAAAGATACACAGAAAAATTGTGTGTATATATAAATAAGAAAGAAAAAATACTTAGCTCTTTGTAGTATCCTTTATTGAGAAAAGCATAAAATACGTAAGCAGTAGCATCGCTTCTTTCCATATGGCATCTGCAGCACATGCAATTATCAGGTACATCTCCTGAGAGCAGTCATACACAATCTTAGGTATTAAAATATAGATGTGTGACAGCAGTGAGAAGAGCATATTACTATATTCCATCTCAAGTTAAGGGCTAGGTATTTCAATATTACCTTGACATAACTTCAGTTTTAAATAGATGCACAATTTTTTAAATCATATATTATGAAATATTTTATTTCGGTCTTCACCCTCCTCCTCTCCTCTTATGACTATCACTATCCATTAAATCACCTCTTGTGAAATAACTAGACCATGACTCTGCACCTCATATTCATATTCTGTGAAAACATGCCAACAGTTACGCTTATCAAGTGAACAGTACTAAGCCATTTTGTGAAGAAAACAGTCTTTGTCTTCAATATTTAATCTTTCTTGAGCGCACCTGTTGCTAGATATGGATAATGAACACAACTAGCACATTATCAGAAACAAGGCTGAATCCAAAACCTGATCCACAGGTTTTTTGTTTGCTTATTAATTGCTACATTTTAGTTAAATGTGCCACATTTAAAAGGAAACTCTGAAAATACTAAATTTGTTATGAAGACATGTTTGAGGGTCAGTGGTCTCTTACAGGATCTTAATAGTGGAAACCCACACAAACTGGATACCTCTCACCTAGATGATATTCGGGAGGGATGGAGTCCGAAGATAGGAACTGGAGGAACTGAAGGTGATGCAAGGTGACAGAGGACACGGTAAGAAGGTGGGCTTATGGCAATAGCAACAAAAGACAATGAATGGAAAGGAAAGCAAGGAAAGTATGGGGGTCATGGGACTCAAACCCAAATGACAGTAGATTTCACTAAGCTTCGTAACACATAGAGCACTAATGCTATATATAAAGAGAGCTTAAGGCTTTATCAATCTTTTTTTATTTTGATGACAAACAAATCCCATGACATCTTGCCTAAATCAAGATTTGCAAGTCTTGATTGTAAAGATTAACTTTTCAAAGGACTTAGGAAAGTATTTCTCCATCTTCTGCTTTGGCTGCTCTACACAACTTTAAAATTATGTGCCATTAATACCCTAAACATTCAACACATATAGCTAAAGCAAATGTAAAAAGCATTCAAAAGAATTTTTTCAAGTTTTTCTCTTTAAATGAAATCGCAGTGCTGCAATACTTCTATGCTATGCTTGACTGTAGTTACCTTGAATAGTTACAGTAATCTCCTTATCAAAATGACAGGGAGAAAAAAAAACAGTACACTATACAGATTCCTTGATATTGGAGGTGCTGGTCCTTCAGAGTCTTGGCGGATTTATGTATGAGTAGTTTTGCTCCAAGAATTGCTAAGGAAATGGTAGAAGTGTCTTCACAACAAGTCCTAATATATTTTAGAATACTGACTGGGGTAGCCCTAGCAAAGGACTAATGTTAGCTGAAGGCATTTTGAAGGCATACTGCCATAATTGAAACAGTCTCCAAATAAAAGAAACTCTTCTAAATATTCCAGATGTAGTTTGTGTAGATAATCTCATATGAAAAGAAATTAAGACTTCATTTTGTAGTGTAGATAAGTAACTTTCCCCCTCCAAAACACAGACAATAGCTCTTGCTTTTCCTGAACACTGCAATTCTCTAACACAGACCAATAGCTTGTTTTGTATACGCTCAGTACTTTCATTACCAAACAACTGAGGAGCAGCCTCCTTAATATTAAATTTTATTTAGCCATAATGCACTGCTTATGTGCATTTCCTACTGGAAGCCACTGCAGACTAAAATCAGCCATTTAATAGTTCAACTCTGTTCTTGTTCTGGTTTACTACAATGCTGTAATGTATATTTAAAATAAACAGGAGATTCCTGAGCTGTAGAAAAAATATTTAGTGGTTTGGATGTCAAAAATCAAGTCTGTGTTCTTCTGTCATATAAGCATAAGAAAGGTAAAACTGGAGCTTCAGTAGAAGAAATGCCAATTAGCACTACTTACAGAATGGCACCATTTTGTTATTACCAAAAATAAAGGTTTCCTTTTTTTTTTTTTAAATAAAAAAAATCTGCCATGAGAATGAAAATACATGAAACAAGACAGCTGACAGACTACAAAGAAAAAGAAGAATTGAAATCAGAACACCTTGGATATCAGGAGTATCATATGCAGCACAGAATACCATTACTGTTTTGGTTTGCTTACACTTAGAAGTAGTCATGGAAATTCCTGGTTTGCTATGCATGATCTCTTTTAAATAGTAGTACTTTTCAAAACCTTAAAAATACTCTACAGATCCTCTTACACAAGTCCCTTATGTCACAGGAACACAAGTCCATCTAGTGATGAAATAAATATTCATCTTATTAAATGCTCACCTAAAAAGCAGTAAACTTTAAAAAAGTAAGTGCTGTCTAAAGAACCAGATTTGGTTTCTTCTCATACAGTCATGACCAACAGAAGATCAAATGGTAATTCAGTAAGACCAAAAAGAAATTATGTTGCTGTTGTTCAGGAATTGCACTTTTCTGCATCGTGTTCAACGCAATATGAAAAAATATTCATAATTCAATGCCTCAAACCTAAGAGTAGGTCTGAAGCAATATAAAGTCCAATACATGACCTTGAATGGAGTCAATGAAAACAAGCACGATTCAGGAGACTTAAAAAAGCAAGCTACAAATGCAACAAAAAAAAGGAAAAGGAAAAAACAAACCAACCAACCAGCCATTGGCAAAAGTTGGAGTCACCCAAAAGAATGGCGAGAAAGATTCCCCAGTTGCACCAAAGAGTTCTCCTAGTGCTTCCTGGAAATCCAACTGTGGTATTTCAGAATTCAAAATTGAAAGTCCTCAAAGTGAAGGGAAACACTGGAAAAGACTAAATAATACCTTCACTTCTAATATTACTAAACAGGCTACATATACATACGTGGAATCATGCACATATATGACTTGTTCAATGTAAGCTCTTAGTGCAGCCTGGATCCCACCCAAGGTCTGTCCATCAGGCTACAGTAAGTCAAAATTACAAAAAAATTGTAAATTTAAAACAAAATTTTTGATTTTTCCTGGAAATAAAAAGATGTGTAAAAGAGTTCTTCATACAGCTAGGGGCCATGGGAGCCAGACAACATTGCACTTCCGGTTTAAGATGTAATGTAAGTTGGTCAACAGAATTAGATGAAGCACATTGGGGAAGGAAGTAAAATAAACATAAGATTACTTTGGAGAAGTAAAGGAACAAGAAAAGGTAGGTAGCAATGCAGCATTTTGGGGAGAGAAGCCACAGCAAAGGGATATTTAGAGAAGAGTATTCACAGATCAGGTTCAGATTACCTCTACCACAAAGTCTCTACCAGCAACAAAATTATAGATCCCATTGCAATTCTAACGAATAACAGAAAATTATAAGGAATGCAAGGCAGTTCAAGAAACCAACATCCCAGCTTCAAAGACATTAAATAAGTGCCTAAAATAAGCAGAATGTAAAAAAAAAAAAAAGTTATTTTAAACATTTCAACTTGCTTGTGTGATTAAAAAAGCCTAGTCATTAATAATTCATGTCCAATTGGATGCTCTTCAAGCACTATATCCTTCTCTTGCTGAAGAAAAACAGACAAGGATAAAGTGGAAAAATGAGGGGTTATTTTTTTCCCCTTTTTCACACCTTTAAGGAGAAGTTTATGAGACCTTTATTCAAGTCATAAGTCTAGCACATCAATGCACAGTGCCATTATATTGCAGTTCTGAGACAAAGAGACCAAGTTACAGATGGTCACCCTGTCCCTGAATCTTCATTTCTTGCCGTGTTTTATCACATCCTTTAGATGACTTTATAAGAGTGTTAAAACAGGATATATTTTCACCTCTAAAAACAACAGTCATAAAAGGAGTAAGAATTTCTTTGCAACTGCCGTATTACCACAGTGTCCTTCCAACATACCTCGAAACAGTTCTGGAAGTACAGAAACCTAGAAACAGGCAAAAATATCGTCCAGCAAGAATTGTGTATTTCTACTGAAAAAAGACATGATATGAATATAAGTGGGAAAATCCATTCTGCCTTAAAAACAAACAAAAAACCACTAAAGACATTTAGTTTGCAATACTGGAATAGTAGCAATGAACATCACTAACATTCTTTGCCCGTACCAATGGAAAAAAAAAGGGGTTTTTTTAAGGGCATAATTCCTTACATACAATTACCCCTCCAATCCTACAAATGCCAAACATCAATGCGTCTGAACTGAAATAAAATAAAATGTAGCTGCTACCATAGCAGACTAGAGAGTACTCTTCAACTGCTACTCTAAATATTGGCCTTTTTGAAAAGTTATTCGGGAAGAAAATGGAAATTCTCTTTCAAAAAATGTATACTCTTACTTTCACAATAAGGTGCCCAGTGTGTTCTGCCAACTGCATTATTTGGCTATAACAAAATCTCTCCAAACAAGTTAAAGGGGAATTGAAAGAACAAGAAGAGAGTGTTCTCCAAAATGCCAGAAGGAAAGCAAGTAATCATTTAAAAACCGATTTCTTTCATACATATCTTCTCCCATACAAAAGACAGAGCTAGTACAAATCAAAAGAACAAACTATGCTGATGTATTAGATTTGCTGGAAAGCTGCTGTTCTGCATCAGCTGAAGTATCACACCTGTTAAACGTGAAAGTCGATGCATTCTGGAAGTTGTGTATTTAGTTCCCTCACTGTGCAGGATGCTGCGCTCACTGTATTTCAGGTGGTGCACAGAGATTGGAAAGAAGCAGGTAGTCACTTTTATATACCAGTTTTAAGCTGGAATGTCCCAAAAAAACATCACTGAACTGGCTGAAGTTAATATAAGAAATCAGACATCTATAAAGACAGTACACCTCAAGTCCTTGTTTC